AAGCCACTAATTTTTCTTCTTTAGCCACGTTGAGAGGATGGAGCATTATAGGAAGAAAAAAAATTTCACTTCTCTATCTCATTCTCTCTCAACTCCCTTTCACGTCTCTCTTCCTCTCTCTCTCTGCGTTTTTTTTTTTCTCTTTTCTTTGATTCATTCTTCTTCTTCCACAAAGGTTTGCAGCAACTTATTGAATCAAAAGATTGATTGGAGCTAGGGTTCAAGGTATGAGCTTTCTCCCTTGTTCCTTTAAATCCGAAAAGTGGTTGTTTTGTGGCTTGATTGCTTGGGTTTTATGATAAATGTTGATTATTTTGCTGGAATCGTAAACCTTGAGTTTTTCCCTTCTTAAAGTTAAGTTAAAGTTTGCTTAGAGACATGTTAGTTCGAATTTTCTTTGAGAGATTTTTGTGTTATGTGGATTTTGGTTATGTTTGTAGAATTTTCTAAGTTTAGTGAGTAAGGATGAATCTTGGTGCTAATTGTATGGTGTTAGGACCGGAAATCATCACAATATTGATGTGTAAAAATATGAGTTTGGGCTGGACAGAAATGAGGAATTTTACATGTTGAGGTTATGTGTAAAATCATAAGGTTAGGGGATCACGTAAGTGGCTGTCAAAGAAAAATTGAAAAATGTTATTTTTCACGTGAATTCTGGTCTTAATGTTTGTAGATCCATAAAACGGACATCCTAAGCTGCGCATAGCCGCAAAAATCACCTAAAACGAACAACTGTAGCTCAAGTTATGCATTTTTAAAATTAAGCATGATTATGTAAATTCTGCAGAAAAGCCAGCACGTTTTGATCTGGTGTGACATGTTTTTGGAGGCCCTAATGAACCTGAAACCAAGCTTATGATAGCTTTTTAGAAAGCCCTAGATGTCTACTTCGATTAGGCACTGATTTTGTAATTTTTGAGGCTACATAGAATATTTTGTGCATATTCTCGTAGCAGTCGTCAAAACTGTCATTTCCTGAAATTGATAAAACAAATAACTGAGGTTCCTACTTTTTGAAACAAAAGTGCTGCACTTAAACCACATTTGCCACCATTTAGAACACGTTATTAGTGACGTGTGAGAGTTGGAATCACCTCATTTGAGTTTTGAAACTCGAGTTGTGTGCATAGGAAGTTTCATATAGAAATTTTCTAAAAGCTGTCAAAAATAGAAAAAAACAGAATTTTGATCTCTTGAGAACTGTTTTTGAGGTATTTAGAGAGGTCGGATTTAGACATATGATAGCTCGTTGGAAAGATATACATGTCTACTTTATTTTGGAGTTGATTTTTGAAGACATAAAATATTTTATGAATTTTCCTATCAGGATGGACGAATCTTGCCAATTTCCAGTTTTTAGGGGAATATGATTATGAATTAGAAATTGATTTATGGTTGAGCTATTGAGCTTTAATAACGATGGCCAATTTGTTTATTTTGGACAGTAGAAAGGAAAATGAATAAGGGAAGCGCAGAGAATTAAACTCAGATTTTGCTAAGCAATTCACGTAAGTGGGGTATGACTTCTCTACAGCACTTGTAAACTTTGTTTGATAGACTTTCTATGGAATGTCTAGTATGCTATTATGTGAATTTTTGCGACATTGTCAATGTGTATGTTTTGTGAAGGCATGCTTGTGCTAATATATTGTACACAAAGTAGAGCAACACGTTGATTATTAAATTGCTTGTGATTAAGCACATAATAGCATGCATGATAGGCCGGTACTGTCAAGTCCTCAAAGGACTCCTATTGTGATATTATGATTGAGCTGCGCAAGTCTCTCGAGTTAAGTGGGTGATGATCGAGACTATATTGTGATATTGAGAAATTGTGATTTTGAATGCGCTGGTCATTCCCTCGAGCCAGGTGGGTGATGACGGGAAACCTGATTTTGTGATTTGAGAAATTGGCATGTGGTCAAATTGTGAAAAAGCCGGCGGCAGTACTGGGAGGGCCCTAGAGATATATAGTGCATGTGCATAAAGTGTAAGAATTGATTGGCCCCATTCCTTTCTCCAGTGAGATCTAATTTAGGTGGTGGCACTAGAGATGTCTGGTCCGAGCTTCTAAAATTTTCAGCATTTGTTTCCTTTATGGTCTGGTCTTGGTTAGGAATTTTTGGTACAAATTCGAATTCTAAAGTCTGGTTTTTCAAGGTATTTTTTTCATCCAGATTTCGTAATAGTAGTTTCTAAATCCAAGTTTATTTGAAAAACATCAAAAGCATCATCATCCACATCTGCCCTTTTTCTCCCCCTCTGAAGATGGTATTCAAAAAAAGATTTATTTTCAAAAAAGGTTACATCCATGGTTATAAACATCTTTTTTGAAACAGGATCATAACATTTATAAAGGAAGCGTAGAGGTAAGCCTAGATGTAGGGTAATTAGTTTCGAAAACATTTTAGGGTGTTTGAAACCTTAGAACCCTAGAAGGCATCTGATTTATTAGTTAAGTGGTTGTCAAAATGGCTTCCCCCAAAGATACTTAGGGACGTTATTTTTAAATAGTAAGGCCCTTGCAACTTCTAAAAGATGTTGATTTTTTTGTTCAGCCACACCATTCTGTTGAGGAGTATCATTACAAGAACTCTAATGAACAATACCTTTTTCCAAGAAAAAAATCCAAAGATCTTATTGAAATATTCTTTCTAATTATCCGTTCGTAAAATTTGAATTTTTGTTTGAAATTGAGTTAAAACCATGGTGTAAATTTTTTTAAAAACATTTTCAACTTCAGACTTCTCTTTCAACAAGTATACCCAGCTTACCCTAGTGTGATCATCTATGAACGTGACAAACTATTTTTTTTCCGAGGGTGTTAAAATCCTAGAAGGTCCCCAAACATCACTATGGATAAACATAAAAGGTTTCGAGGGTTGGTAGGGTTGTAAGGGAAAAGTAGAACGGTGATGCTTAGCCAATTCACATAACTCACATTGAAATAAAAATGGATTTTTATTTCTAAACAAATCTGGAAACAAACTTTTTAAATATTAAAAATTCGGATGGCCTAGTCTATAGTGCCATAACATTATTTCTTTATCACTAGTAATAGAAACAATCCCATAACATGTACTTTGTACTAGCCTTCTTGAACTCTATCCATCTTCAAAGAAATAAAGTCCTTCAATCTCTTTAGCACTGCCAATCATCCTCCCCATGGTTAGTTCTTGAAACTCACAATAAGATTGAAAGAAGTTAACTTGGCACTTAAAGTCACTGGTTATTTTGTTGATGGACAATAAGTTACATGAAAGATTAGGGACATGAAGAACATTGTGGAGAGTAAGAGAAGGAGAGATAACAATTGACCCTATTCTAGCTATTACTGACAATGACCCATTTGCAATTTTAATTTTCTTATTGCCTGCACAAGGGTTATAAGATGAAAATAATTTTGAAGAACCGGTCATATGATCGGCTACACCTGAGTCAATAATCCATGAACGAGATGGATTAAATTTTTCACAAGAAAAGGCTGTAGTAAGGTAGTTACCCTTTTCGGCCAAGGTGCAGGAAGAGTATACTAAGAACTGTGGAGATTGAAAAAGCTTGTACAGGTGGTTCAGTTGTTCCTTGGTGAAGGGAGATGCCTTTAAGGTGATTTGCTACTCTTGAAAGTCTTCATTCACGGTTTGTAAGGCTCTACTTTCTCCGTCGTTTCTCCTCTTTTGCAGTGGTCACACCAGGGTTTCTTCCTCTTTTCTCCATCTGAATCACTCCCTTTTGACGCCAAAGCCGAACTTTCAACCTCAGGGCTGTCTTTAAGTTCGAAAGTCTTTAGCATCACTTTGCGCCTGGTCTCCTCTCTCCTTACTTTAGAGAAAACTTCCCTGATGGAAGGCAGTGATTTCCTTCCTAGAATCTGGCCTCGTACTTCATCTAATTCTCCTATCTTTTCTTATGGCGAACACTATCAGTTGGACAATCTCATTCATCTTCATAGCAAAGATCCAATTCCTGCCAAAGTGGTACAATCTCATTGTAATAAGACGTAACGTCACGGTCTCCTTGTTTGGACTTCCAAAGTTTCGTTTTCAATTCGAAAATTTGGGATGAATTTTTCACGTTTGAATACATATCACGAACTGCTTCCCAGACTTCTTTGGCTGTGGGCAGAAATAAATGCGGCTTTCCAATGGCTAGTTCCATGGAGTTGATGAGCCACGCAATCGTCAAGGAGTTATCTGACCTCAATGCTTTCAGGTTCGGATCCCCTGCTGCTGGTTGCTTCACTTCGCCAGTTAAATAGCCAAGTTTACCTCTAATGTCAATGGCCAGCTTAATGGACTGAGCCCACTCCAAGTAATTACTGCCATTCAGTTTATGGACAGTCAATTGAAGGGAAAGGTTTGATAAGAGGTGCTCTACTTTGCTGGTTGATACTGTGGATTCCGATTGGGTCCTTTCGGTGGTAGAGGATGAGTCTCCACCGGGGGAGGAGGTATTACTTCCTGTCATCGTCGTTTTGTAATTCATAAGGAGGTTTAGGTTTTGAGCCGTGGCTATGATATTGTATCAGTTTTGGAGAGAATCATCAATTTTTATTATTCTTATTCAACACAGCAAAGAGTACACGAACATATATAGAGTAAGGAATCCCTAAGCTACCAGCATGCCACAAAAATAGGAAACTAACTAATCCTCCTAACAGATAAAGATAAACTATAAGATTTGAAAATTAATTCAAATCTTTTATTAAAAGATAATACTCCTAATAGTTATTCCTAATAAATAGGAGATAAAAGATTTATCATATTCCAAATAGTTATCCCTAATAATAGGAGATAAAAGATCTATCATATTCTACAGTATCCATATTGTTCTTCATTAGCTTTTGAATACGCGAACATCATTAGTGACTGTTTGCTCTGCCTTCATGGATAATGGCGTAATAGATACTTATTTATGTTTGATGATTCCTCACATGATGTACCTTGTACTGGTTGTGCAACAGATTCCATTATAGCTTAACTTCTTGTCTACAGGTGGAGCAAAATGTTGGGTTCGTGCAGAAAAAAAGAGATGAAGTGGCCTTTTCACCAAAAGATCAGCAATCCGTAGAAACATTTCTTCAGGTTTGTTGTTGTTTCCCCTGACAAGAGACAAAATACTATTCTAATTTGCTTAATGTAACTTAGCATGGTAAAATGGTTAAAATGCAGCTTGAGAAGCACAATAGAAATACCCCATTTACCCAATATTACAAAAGCATCATGGAAAAGGCCGTCGCGAGAAATCTGGCATCGGATGAAAAGGTGCAATCCCTTCTTCTTTCTTTATATTTTAGACTCTTCATAATTTTATTTTGCCATCTCTTGGCATAATACTATTCCATAATTGTCGAGGAGGTTAGCGATCTACTAATGATAAATCGTCTAGCCATCTTCTTGTGAATTCCTTTCTTTCCTAAACTACGCAAAAAATTTGTTAGATAATATGATTTAAATATCCATTTTAGACTTGAAATAAGGTATAAGCTATGTTTTGGGTTGCAGTCGGACTTGCCATATTTGCTGGTTTAGATAAAGAGCGTTTCACAATTTTCTTTGCATGATATCAACTATGTTTTGTTTACCAACATCTTATTACTCAAACTTTTATGAATTTATTCTGCATTTGAGCATGACCGTACTTTTCGCTACATTGCTTTCTGCAGGTTAACAAAGTAAACTTCCTAACAAAGTAAAAAGCTTTCAAATAAGACGGCTGAGGAGGCGTTTGTTAACGGTGGACATTTAGAGAAAATTGAATCTGACTAGAGATGGTGGGAAAGATAGAAAAATGGTGAACCATTTAAAAGTTTTGGGTGATAAAAAGTGTTTTAGTTCCACCTTTTCTTGGTATCAAATTCAGAGAGTAGCTTTCTTTTCTTTTTTACTTTACCAGTTTTGGCATATTGGTTTAGGTTTTTAGAAATTCTGATTGTAAAGAAGACATGGCCAATGATCTCATGGATCTGAACAGATTTTAAGTCTGTTGACCATGTCAAATGAGTTTTTTATGCATTATTGAAAAAATATGATTTTGGAACCTTTCTCCAACCAGTTGAGATCATACGAAAACAGTTTATATAAGTAAAGCAGAATTTAACACAGAGCAATATGATGCCTTTTTATGTTTTTTTTATTGAGAATTGGGGGTTTAATGATTGAACTGATCTTCTGATTTAGGCTGGTTGAGCTAAATTTCTTACTAATTAAAAAAAGAGACATTTTATTTCCTATCCTTCATACCCAAGAAAAGCATAGATGAATACGTTTGGGACCTAATAGATAGATATGACAAAATCATTTCAACGTCTATTAGTGGCCGGCATTTTATCCCTGAGGCTGATATATAGACAACTTTAAATTAGCCGCCCAAAATCAAAGTTTAATGTATTCTTGTGCATAAGATTCTCATGTCTTTATGACATGGTAGCAACCATGTCTCTTTAGTCTCCCAACTTTAATTAATTTTCTTTGAAGCTGTCTCTATTCATTATTTTTATTTAATTTTTATTTATGTTATGACACGAGGTTTTTCGTTGCAAAAGGATTTTAAATATGCAATTCTAGAAGCTTTAAAGTAGACATGAACTTTTATTTATTTATTTATTTGTTTTTCGTAAACGGCCAAATTAGGATCTAACGTATGATATAAATATTGTATTCATTGTTTATTTTTGCTGAGACCATATTGTACCTGATATTTCATAACGTGAGAATTCGACATGTTTACAACTTACTAAATAAAAATACAAATCATAATTATTTCAAGAAAGAAGGATATATAAATTTTTTTAAAAAAATAACCCCCTACTTCATTAAGATTTTAGTTTTATTTTTAAGTGTTCTCATGTTGAGTAATAAATTTCACGAACTTAATGTTTCATTGGTTCAAGCCTAGATAAAAAACGAGGCTTGCAACAGTGTTGGTTATGTCTGAGATGGAATTTTTTTTCCTTTGAATTCGTGTTTTCTAATAAGTATTGTTTGGTTAACCTTTAGTTTACTTTTTTTTTTTTTTTTGAAAAATTTTATGTTAGGGTAAAAAAAAAACATTAGTCAATAAAAAAAATTTAACCATCAAATCATTTTAGAATATATTAAATTTAAAAATACTATATCAATTTATTCAAAATTGAAAATATTACCATTAAAAATATCTTTTTTTCACATCTGATAATAAAATTTTCTTCTTTTTTAATTTTTACAAAAAAGTGAAGGGAACATTAGAAATTCTCTTGAATTTTTAATAGTAGTGATACTCACACGAAAAGACAAAAGTATATATGATCGCCGAATAAATATTATGACATTTATTATTTTATTTCTTGCATTTTAAGTTTATGAAATATTTATATCATACATTTTGGATGTTTCAGTATTATATTTTTGAACTGCAATTTTTCAACAAATTTGGACCTTTTTTTAGTCAACTACTTATTTTAGCGACTTAATTTACATCTTTACCTAAAATTATCAATTTGTTGATTTGTTTTTTCACTCTATGCGTCCAACTAACCTTTTACAAATTATAAACTTGTTCGTTAAAATTTTCACTCTATACCTCCCACTACTAAGTCATATCATTTGATAAGAGGATGAGTAAATTTAATACGACATTATAAACTAAAAGTCCAATGTTGAGAATATTTAAAATGCATGGCATATATTTTTCATGAATAACCCTAAGTATTTATAAATAACCCTAAATATGATGATGTTGAGAAGACAGTTCAATCAACCGAAACAATCAAGGCAAAAAAATATTTTTCATACGCGGCAAGTTGGACTGATATAGGAAAAAGAAAAGCATAGATTTTATATTGTTCATTCCTTTGTCTTCCCAAAAACGTCCTAGAAAGTTTTTCACTCTTTCTTTTTTTTTATTTTATTTTTTATTTTCCCACCTCCTCTACATTATACATATACTAAAGGAAATGATGGATTCACTGTTTGTTTACGTTACAGTGTAATAAACAGTGTCTTTTCTTTTTTATCTCTGTATATTTCTTCAGATGAATTTTTTATTTCCGTTATGTCCTTTTGAGTGGACTTACTATATTGCCCTCAACTTATTACTCTTTCATTTGATCTTTGTTGGGGCGTTTTGGTCATTTTCCGTATGCTTGCTTTTCTCTTTCTTGCACGTGAGCTGTAGTGAGTGAATTCCACCCAATTGGATTTTGGCCACGTGTTACTCTTTGATGGGTTGAGACTAAGAATTTGGTCCAAGTGAGCAACAAACATTGCAATTTTTTTTTTTTTTTTTTTTTTGGGATAGAATAAACGGTCTAATTTTCACATGAAGGAAGATGTGCATATGCCTCACACCAATTATACCGAGTATATTCATGCTTTTTACATGTAAATCGTTCCCCATTATTCTCCCAATCTTTTTTTTAATTTTATTTTTTTTCTTCCCTTCCCTTTTGTGTTCGAACAAATTCTTTTATTTTTTGTTGTTTATTCATGTACGCATGTAAATTACAAAATTATATATGAATTTTATTTGTCTTTAAGTTTTTTATTTATGTTTTTTCTTCATTATGTAACTTCTTTTCTCCATATTAATTTATCTATTTTTATATATTTTTTTAAATGAATTTATATAATCCGTTCATTTAATAGACAGTAAAAGAAAAATAGAAAAACATTTTTCTAAGGACAATAGAAAATCATTTTTAATTACCATATAGCTTTATTATTTAAAAAAAAAATTCTAACATTTCAAAATTATTTATATGTATTTTACATGTATAGATTAATGATCCAAATTAAAGATTACACTGGAGACATGTAGGTTATCATTTTTGGCAGAACCGCTCAGGCACCAATAAAAAAAAACATGTTCTGCATTAACAATTGACGAAGGCTTTACCGATCCATTTATAATACCACCAACTATTGATTAGATTCGAGGACAATAAAAAATCTTCAAAATCTTCTTTCAACAAAGAGGCACCCAAATGAGCACAATAATTTCCAAAAAATTTGAAGACATCCATGTTCCATCATCGCTACCAAAACAATTAACTACAGAAACAGAAGATCCAGAAAGGTGAATAATATCTTTTTATCTTTTATCAACTATACATAAAAAATATTTATATTATTTTGATTACAATTTTAAAATTTTTTTTTCAGCCCACAACTAATACCAACAACGTAGATATCAATACCAACCACATTTGATCCACACACTCCGACACGTAAAAAACCTGGTACAAGGTAAGACACGTTCAACACAACAAATATTATCGACTTATTTAAATATATATTTAAAAATTATTTCATTTTTATAGTCCTGAATCAAGAACAACAAGACAATCTGAAAAACATCCGAAAACAAAGTAATATAAATATTTTTTAAATATTTATTTCATATTAAATAATTTAAACATATTTAATTTTGTTAACAATTACATTTACAAACATTTTTCTCATTTTTATATTTGCAGCTGAAAAAAAAATGCTAAAGAAACACAAAAACGTTGTATTTTATTTTATACAATATGTATATATATTAAATAATTATACTATTTATATTTGTGTAAATATATTTATATAAATTTTATATTTATCATATAATATAATAATGTATAATATATGTATATATAAAAATTTTAAATACAGTTATCATATAATATAATACTGTATTCTGCAGACGCGGGGAATACAGGCTCGTTACACCTAAACCCTTCTGGTACAAGGTAAGACACGTTCAACACAACAAATATTATCGACTTATTTAAATATATATTTAAAAATTATTTCATTTTTATAGTCCTGAATCAAGAACAACAAGACAATCTGAAAAACATCCGAAAACAAAGTAATATAAATATTTTTTAAATATTTATTTCATATTAAATAATTTAAATATATTTAATTTTGTTAACAATTACATTTACAAACATTTTTCTTATTTTTATATTTGCAGTTGAAAAAAAAAGAAATGCTAAAGAAACACAAAAACGTTGTATTTTATTTTATACAATATGTATATATATTAAATAATTATACTATTTATATTTGTGTAAATATATTTATATAAATTTTATATTTATCATATAATATAATAATGTATAATATATGTATATATAAAAATTTTAAATACAGTTATCATATAATATAATACTGTATTCTGCAGACGCGGGGAATACAGGCTCGTTACACCTAAACCCTACTAAAAATCTAAGCGCGTGACCATCACGTTCCCGCCCAGCGTCTGGGTAAGTCACCCCTCATCTCTAGTCGGCCACGGCCAGCGCGGTTGCGCCTGAAGATCTTGACTAAAACACATGGAAACCCACCAACGGCGAACCTTCCACGCGCCTTCACACGCGCCGCTCATCACGAGGACTGCAACCGTACGCCGCCTCGGCGACGACCTCAGCATGGCGGCTCCGGCCCCGTAAAGCTTTGAATAGCCCCCAGAACCCCTTCCCACTCTTCCTCCTCAGCTTCGGCGACACATTTCCCGTTGTCGTTTCTTCATTAGTTTTCGCGTTGTCGTCAAACGACGGAAACATCATCGCCGAATGGCTCCTCCTCCGCCTGCTCTGCCTGTTCTTCATGTCCCTCAGCCCCATCTTCGTCGACGGGGCCCTCACCATCCCAAACATAAACAAATTCCACCTCGGCTTCACCGCCGGCGACCCCACTAACGACAGGTTCAAACCGTTGTCGTACGAGCACTTCTTCGTTGTCGTCGTCGGCAACGGCAACGCCTTGTCGTTTGACTTCGGCTTCAAGTAGTGGAATATGCTCCGTTTCCTTCTCGTTTTCCCGTTGGGTTCTAGAACATTCCCCTCGTGGCTAACTTGTTCTTTGCCCGCTAAATGAATGAGTTTTCCGCAGAAGATGATTTCTTTGGGATTTGGGTAAGTCGTAGCCGTAAAATCCTCGCTGAAGAACTCAAAGAAATTGTCTTCCTCGTCATAATCATCGTCGTTTTCTAAAGAATTAGAGCTCTGGTATTTCTTGCTACTGCTCGAGAAATATCCGTCCTCCCATTTG